GGCATGGTTGGGTTGGGGGACCCTACAGATCACAGAAGCATGGGATCACGGCACGGTTGGTTGGAAGTGTCTCTGTAGATCACAGCACCACGGGATCGTGGCACAGTGAGGTCAGAAGGGATCCTATGGACCACAGCACCAGGGGAGCACTGTGTGTCCCCCTGACATCTGAGCTCCATCTGCCCTTCTTCACTTCGAAGCCATTCCCCCTCATCCTACCTCTACCTACCCGTGTAAAACGCTGATTTCCCTCCTGCTCCTAAACTCCCTTCAAGTACTTGAAGGCCGCAGTGGGGTCTTCCCACAGCCTTCTCTTCTCCAGGCTGAACAACTCCGGTTCCTCAGCCTGCCTTCGTAGCAGAGGTGCTCCAGCCCTTGGATCACCTTCACAGCCTCCCCTGGGCCCCTCTCCTACAGCTCCGCGTCTCTCCTGCTCTGAGGGCCCCAGGTCTGGATGCAGTGTGGCTCCAGGTGGGCCGCACTCAACCCCGTCATCTGCGTCAGTGGGGACAGGCTGAGAGAGCTGGGGCTGTGCAGCCTGGGGGGGGAAGGCGCCAGGGGGACCTTATTGCTCTGCTGGGACCTGGGGGGAACGGGAAAACCGGGAAGGAATTCTTATAAGGATGTGCAGGATGAGGGGAAATGGCGTGGAGCCAGAAGAGGGGAGGTCTGGAGTGGATGGGAGGAAGGAATTCTTCGCTGTGAGGGTGGGGAGACACTGGGATGGGTCACCGGGGGGGCAGGGGGGCACTGGGTGTGATGGGGCTCTGAGCAGCCTGGTGTGCTGGGAGCCGCCTCTGATGGCAGAGCGGGGAGCAGCCAGGGGACAAACGGGCTGCCTTCCAACCCAACCACGCTGCGATTCGGTGGTTCTGTGATCTACTGGATCCATCTGAACCCAACCATGCTGGGATCCCATGGTTCTATGACCCACAGGATCCCTCCCAACCCAACCATGCTGGGATCCCATGGTTCTATGACCCATAGGATCCCTCCCAACCCAACCATGCTGGGATCCCATGGTTCTATGACCCACAGGATCCCTCCCAACCCAACCA